CGAATCCCACCAGCCCTTTGGGCGTGAGTGGTTTAGAGAGCTCTCTCTGTCCTCAACCCCCCTTCTTCCCCTTCGGGGAGGGGTTTACCCCTCCCCCTACCCCCTCCCCCTGGGCCTGGATGGGGGCGCCTCGCGGGTCGTCAGGGGGGTCATTTTCGACTCCTGGGAGGGCTAAAAAACGACGGCCCTCACGAGGATTCTGGCCCCGACGGGGGGAGGGAGAACAAAACCCTCTCCTCTTCTGTGAAGCCAAAATCATTGATTTTACTACGGTTTTGGCCCCATTTGGGCCTTCTGAGGGGGCAGCGCTCATTAAAGTTCTCCTCTTCCTTCAAGGCAAAATCATTGATTTTACGAAAGTTTTGGGCTCATTTTGCCCTTCTGAAGGGGCAGCGCTCATTAAAGCTCCCCTCTTCTTTGATCCATCCTCTCCAAGATGGCCCCAAGAAGCGCCCAGGAGGCACCAAAAGGCCCCAAGATGGCCCCAAGAGGTCCCCAGGAGGCCCCCAAGAGGCCTCCAAGAGGCCCCCAAGATGCCCCCAAGAGGCCCCTAAGAGGCCCCAAGAGGCTCCCCCGAGGCACCCAAGACGCTCCTGGAAGCCCCTGGGGCCGCCAAGAGGCCCCCAAAACGCCCCAAACGGCCTCCAAGAGGCTCCCCAGAGGCCCGAAGAGGCTCCCCCACGGCACCCAAGACGCTCCTAGAAGCCCCTGGGCCCGCCAAGAGGCCCCCAAGACGCCCCAAAAGGGGACGAGGTGCCCGAACGCCTCACGCCACGAGGAGCCCGAACGACTCACACCAGGACGAGGGGCCCGAACGACTCACACCACGAAGAGCCCGAACGACTCACACCAGGAGGGGCCCGAACGACTCACACCAGGACGAGGCGCCCGAACGACTCACACCACGAGGAGCCCGAACGACTCACACCACGACGAGGGCCCCGAACGACTCACACCACGAGGAGCCCGAACGAGTCACACCAGGAGGAGGGGCCCGAACGACTCACACCAGGACGAGGGGCCCGAACAACTCACACCACGAGAAGCCCGAACGACTCACACCAGGACGAAGAGCCCGAACGACTCACACCACGAAGAGCCCGAACGACTCACACCAGGAAGAAGGGCCCGAACGACTCACACCAGGACGAGAAACCCCAAACGACTCAAACCACGAGGAGCGCTTTCTCTCCCTCCTCCTCCGCCTCGTCCTTCTCCCGCTCCCCCCACAAGGAGGATGTACAAGGAGGCGGGAGGCAGGAGGAACAGGGGAGATATGCGGGGCCAAGCGGACACACGCCTGAAAAACACGACTGTCGGCATGCTTCGCGAGAGTTGCTGCTGTGAGATGGGCTGGTGGGGATACGCGAAGCGTAAAGAATTTCTTAGCAGGCCAGCCCCCTCGCGCCGACCCCCTCTGACGCCGCTGGCTGTCCCCGTCGCGAGTGGGCCGCGCACGTATCCTTTTGCGGCACCTCTCGAGACGGGCCGACCCGTGAGGGCCCCGGGCCTGGAGGAGCATGGCGTTCTGTTGTTGCTGTTGTGGTTGTGGTTGTTGTTGTTGTGGTTGTGGCTGTGGTGGCTGTTGCGGCTGTTGTGGCTGTTGCTGTTGTTGTTGTTGTTGTTGGTGGTGTTGTTGTTGTGGTGTTTGTTTTTGTTGTGGTTCTTGTTTTTTGTTGTGAATGTTATGTTAATTGTAATGTTAATGTTAATTGTCATGTTAATTTTACTGTTAATGTTGATGTGTTGGTGTGGTTACATATCTACATCATTGTTATTGTTGATCTCCGGAAACGGTTCCGCGCGCTCTCGCCTCGACGCCGGCGACATTTTCGTTGAAAACGGAGCTCCCACGCGAGCGTTGGCTTGAGTCTAAATGTGGACCCCTGAAGCCCCAGCTACGACGACAACGGCTCCCGCTTGATACTTCCTCCTCACAATTTACCCCGAAACACCCTGGCCGGAGCGGCCTCCGAACTCAGGAACGGCGCTCTCGCGCGAGACTTCTCGCAGTCCAGTCAAGTCGGCGGAGGCCCAGCCACGACGACAAAGGGCTCCTGCTCGGTACTGTATCACGATTTACTTCAGAGCCCTTGGCTAGGAAGGCCCCCGAACTCAGGAACGGCGCTCTCGAACGATACTTTCTCGCAGTTCAAGCAAGTTGGTGGAGGCCCAGACACGGCGCCAAGGGTTCCCGTTCGATATTTCCCCATCGGTTTTCCGAGAACCCCTGGAGGCCCCCGAATTCAGGAACGGCGCTCTCGCTCGAGACTTCCTCGCACTTCAGCCAGTGGCCGACAAAGAATATATATACCCCCCGAAAAGGGGTGCAATCGAAGACGACGTGGCCGGGTATCGACGGTTGGGGTGTACAGAATGCAAGACACGCGTGCCAGTAAGAGCGAACAGTCTTGACATGATTGTTGTCGTTGTGGATGTTGTTGTTGGTGTTGGTGTTGGTGTTGTTGTTGATGCTGTTCTTGTTGTTGTTATTGTGAGTGTTATGGTTGTTGTTGTCGTTGTTGCTGCTGGTGTTTGTTATTGTTGTTGCATTTCCAGGCCAAAAAACAAATGTCAGCAGCCCATATATATACACAAGACCGCATCGGTGCTTCGCGCCATACGACTTGGTCCTTTGAGATCTGCACGGAAGCGGAATGCGTGCCTGCGTACATGCGCGAGTGCATGTAGACACGCGCACGTGCATGACCGTTCTGTATATATGTCTAGGTGTATACAATATACTTACATTGTTGTATGTGTACATACAGCGTACATATGCACATATACATTTATGTGTAAGTGTATGAACTTGCATATGCAACTCGTACGGGGCATCCTGGGCATCTTTGCTGCATGCCACGAGACCCTCAACGACTGGGTCACAATGTGAAATGTCATGGGAGCAAAATCAATGAATGTTGGCATTCGGAAACATCGTGGGGGTGTTTTCGGGGCCCTCGTGGGCCGTTTTGGCGCCTTCATGTGCCGTCCTGGGGCATTCTTGGGCCGTCTTGGGGGGCTTGGGCCCGCTGGCGCCCCCTTGGGACCCATCTTGGGCACTTCCGGGGACCTCCCATGTCCCTTTTGGGTCTGTGCTGGGAGCCCTTGGGGGGCCTCTTGGTTCCATTATGGGCTGTCTTGGGGCTTTCGTGGGCGATCGTGGGGCCCGGCTCGGCCGTCTTGAAGCTTTCTTGGGGGCCTTTTGGGGCGTCTGGAGGCGATCTCGGGGGCTTTGAAACTGTCTTGAAAGCTGATGAAATCCGAAAGGCGAATATGCTAAAATTGTAAGTTTTACGAAGGGAATGGGGCGATTTTTATGTTTTGCAGGCCCCTTGGAAAGCTTTTTGGGGTGCCTTGGGGGTCTTTATGTTGGCATTCGGAAGCATCGTGGGGGTGTTTTCGGGGCCCTCGTGGGCCGTTTTGGCTCCTTCATGGGCCGTCCTGGGGCAGCTTGGGCCCGCTGGAGCCCCCTTTGGACCCATCTTGGGCACTTCCGGGGACCTCCCATGGCCCTTTTGGGTCTGTGCTGGGAGCCCTTGGGGGGCCTCTTGGTTCCATTATGGGCTGTCTTGGGGCTTTCGTGGGCGATCGTGGGGCCCGGCTCGGCCGTCTTGAAGCTTTCTTGGGGGCCTTTTGGGGCGTCTGGAGGCGATCTCGGGGGCTTTGAAACCGTTTTGAAAGCTGATGAAATCCGAAAGGCGAATATGCTAAAGTTGTGAATTTTACGAAGGGATTGGGACGATTTTTGTGCTTTAAAGGCCCCTTGGAAAGCTTTTTGGGGTGCCTTGGGGGTCTTTCGGGCCGTCCTGACGCAATTGGAGTCCCTCTTGGAGCGCTCTTGTGCTGTCTGGGGCCTCCCTTGAGCCTTTCTGATGACCCCTCGGATCGCTCTGGGTCTGCTGGCAAGGCGATTGTGGAGACCCGGAAAGCTGGGTGACCTTTTCCAAGGACGTCCAAGGGAGTCCGAGAAACCCAGATCCCGGGGTCCAGTTTTTTTTTGGGGGGGGGGTGATGGGTTTTCCCCCCCCCGGGCTTGTAAAAATATAGCAAGAGGAATATACTGACATTGTCACGATTAGTGCTAAGCCGAAGGAACATGGCGAGAATGAGACGTCCGTCCGGATCTCACGGAAAGGGGGTGGTGGGGATAGCCCAGGGGAGGGTTGGCGAACCAGCTGCGTGCAGCGTGTTCTTCTGTCGACTCCCGTCGCCAGAGGCGGCCATGCATCGAAGAAGGCGGCCAGGCGGTGGAGCCGAAACCAAGCTGCATGCAGCAAATTCCGCTACCTGGGGGCGGTGTCTCGAATACACGCTGGTCGGAAGAAGTGGGTAGAAACATGAAGCAGGAAGGTGTTAGAAGTATATCGGGCTTCCGCCCGCCCCATGAGGAGGAGGGAAGAAGGAACCCACTTGATGCTTGAAGTAGGAAAGCGTCAGAAGTGGATTGCGATCTGGGAATCTAGAAATACCTACTTTAAACGACCAGCGTGTAAATCGGGACGTTGAATGTCTGGGATCGTCTGCGGTCGGGAACTTTGACTCAGAGTGTCGCGGCGCCAGTTCTGGCCCACCACGCTTAGGCGCGACACGCCACCCACGTTGCGGCCCCCGAGCGTCCACGCCCCGACAGCCTCCCACCCCTTCCCAAGCCCTCCCTTCGGCGGTGAGCGATGGGGGGGAATTGATAAGGGGCGGGTCTTCTCAGAATGCTCGAAACCTTCCCGGGAGATACCAAAAACTGCCGGAAGGCGCGAGAGCTTCCGAGAAGTTCCGCCGCCCTTTCCGCTCATAACTCAGGTCTCTGGCGGCCGTTCGGGACGATCCAGGCACTCCCGGAACGCCCTCGGCGAGGCGCAGCCGCTGGAACGCATCCCGAGGCCGGAAAACCGCCGAGAACCGACGAGACCGCCCGGAGAAGCTCGAACCTCGAACCTCGAAACTGCCCCCCCCCCCTCCCCCCTCTCGCTCGCCGCCGCTCCCTTGCGCTCGCCCCGAGCCTGGAGACGCCCCCGGCGCCCCCGTCGCCGAGGGCCGAGGGGCGGAAGAGCCACGGCCTCCCACCTGTGCCGGCGCTCCCTGCGGCAGCGGCGGCCTCCCATATCGGGGCGGGTCGTCGACGTCGAGCTGCTGCTTCCCATATCCGCCAGCCCTTCTCCCTGTGGAACGCCCGACGGAGGAAAAGGGCCGATGGCCATTGGTTCCCCCAAACCGTCCTGTGGTGTCGGGCCCTCGCTTAGGAGAGACAGCGCCCCGCGTCTCGCTTCCGCTGCCCTCCACACTGCTCCCACCTTCCATCCCTGCCTCTGCCCTCCGCATGTCATCATCATCATCATCATCATCATCATCATCATCATCATCATCATCATCATCATCATCCTGATCCTGATCCTGATCCTGATCCTGATCCTCATCATCAGTATCATCATCAGCATCATCGTCATCATCATGACCACCACCATCATCAGCATCAACATCATCATCAGCATCAGCATCATCATCAGCATCGGCATCATCACCATCACCATCATCATCATCAGCATCATCATCCTCATTCTCATGATCATGATCACCATGATGACCAACACCACCACCATCATCAGCATCGTCGTCGTCGTCACCCAGCTTCTTCTCCTCCTCCTTCTCCTCCTCATCCTCCTCCCCATAATCCTTCTCCTCCGCTTCCTCCTCCTCCTCCTCCCCTCCTCCTCCTCCTCCTCTCATCATCGTCCTCTTCCTCCTCCTAATCATCGTCATTCTCCTCCTCATCATCATCATCGTCGTCATCGTCATCATCATCGTCCTCGCAATTATCATGATCATGAGCATGATTATGACCATCATCATCACAACCACCATCACCATCTTCATTACCATCGTCGTCATCAGCATCACCATCATCTTCAACATCGCCGTCGCTATCAGCATCATCAGCATCGTTATCATCATCCTCATCCCCAATCACAAACTCATCATTCTCCTCATCATCATCTCACCATCACCATCAGCCGCATAGTAATCACCATCATCGTCATCATCATCAGCAGCATCAGTATCATCATCATCAGCATCATCATCACCATCATCAGCATCAACATCATCAGCATCAACATCAGCATCATCATCAGCATCGGCATCATCGTCATCACCATCATCATCAGCACCAGCGTCCTCATCCTCATCCTCATCCTCATGATCATGATCATCATGATGACAAAAACCACCACCATCATCAGCATCGTCATCGTCGTCACCCTGCTTCTTCTCCTCCTCCTCATCCTCCTCCCCATTATCCTTCTCCTCCTGCTCCTCCTTCTCCTGCTCCTCCTCTCATCATCGTCCTCCTTCTCCTCCTCCTCCTAATCATTATCATCCTCATCACACTCGTCGTCATCGTCATCGTCATCGTCCTCGCCATCATCATGATCATGAACATGATCATGACCATCATCATCACCACCACCACCATCTTCATTACCGTCGTCGTCATCAACATCACCATCTCCAACATCGCCATCGCCACCAACATCACCGGCATCAAACATCATCATCACCACCCGCAATCACAAACTCATCATCATTCCCATCATCATCTCACCGTCACCATCAGCAGCATAGCAATCACCATCATCGTCATCATTATCAGCCGCATCATCATAACGACCAGCATGGTCATCATCATAATCACCACTTTCCTCCTCTTCTTCATCATCAATATTGCCATCATCATCAACATCAGCATCAGCATTATCAGCATCATCATCCTCACCATTCACTTACATCATCATCATCGTCATCATCGGGACCATCATCATCAACAACACCATCATCAGCATCCGCATCATCATCATCATCATCACCATTATCATCATGATCATGATCATCATCAGCATCATCATCAAACTCATCATCAACATCACCATGATAATCAACATCATCACTATCTTTTGCAACACCCCTTGTTCGCATGCGGTGCCCGCCTCTATTTCGGCACACCTCTCACACGTTTCGTGGCCATATAGGGAGCTCCACACATGCGGTACCCGCCCCCATTTCGACACACACTTCATACGTTTCGCTACCACATCGAGGGTTCCACCGAAGGCTCCAGTGGTAGGGCTCGCAAGCGGTACCCGTCCCTATGTCGGCACACCCCACACACGTTTCGTGGCCCCATCGGGAGCTCCACCGAAGGCTCCAATGGTAGGGTTCGCATGCGGTGCCCGCCTCCATTTCGGCACACCTCTCACACGTTTCATGGCTATATAGGGACCTCCGCCGAAGGCCCCCAGTGGAACCGTTCACATGCGTCCGCGCCACCAATTCCGGTACACCCCACCGAAAGCCCCAGTGGCAAGGATCGCATGTGGTACATGCCTCCATGTCGGCACATCTCCCACACGTTTCGTGGCTATACATGAAGTTCCAGTGGAGGCCCCAGTGGCACCGTCCACATGCAGTACCCGCCCCCATTGCAGCATACTTCTCACACGTTTCGTGTGTGTGTGTGTGTGCGTGTGTGCGTGCGCGCGTGTGTGTGCGTGTGTGCGCTTGTGCGTGCGTGCGTTGGTGCGTGCGTGCATGTGTGTGTGTGTGTGGTGTGTGTGTGTGTGTGTGTGTCTCTCTTTCCGCCAGCGCAGTCGCTGTGCCTAGCCGCCGACGCTATACACATACACACACATATATATATATACATACATAGGTATATATATATGTATACATATACACATATACACATATATTAGAACCATCGCGTGCGCTTCGCGCGCGCTCAAGTTCTAGCTAGGCTTGATCGGCCAACTCATGTAATCTCATTTTGGTCGCGTCTTGCGTCCAGGGACTCCCTTGGAGGCCCTGCGCAAGCCTCGGAATCGTATAGAAGGGGAAGTGTGGAAACGCAGAACTCATGAATATCCTTTAGGTGTTCAGCGATTTTTGGGGGAGGTGAAGGGGGTCTGAATTGTGGTCTGTTGTGCAAGAGTAGACCGGGGGCCAAACTTGAAAAACAACGAATTGTGGGATTTCAATGTTCTCGCAGTTCCTCGGCGCTGTTCGGCGCTGTTTTTCCCCACATCCTAAGCGGGGTCTTGTTTTCTCTGGACACCCCGCGCAGTCCTCCCACACCCCCTCTCTCTCTTTTGGGTTTCTTGTTTTCTCTGCACACGCCGCACAGGATCTCACCCCCCTTTCCTCACTCACACACTCACACACTCAAGCATTCATCATCATCATCATCATCATCATCATCCTGAATCAGCGTCACCACTCATCATCATCCTCATCATCGTCACCATCATCATCACTCGCTCACTCACTCACTCACCCACTCACTCGCCAACCGCACTCACTCACTCACTCACTCACTCACTCACTCACTCACACACTCACTCATTCACTCACTCATCATCACCACTCACTCACTCCTCACTTCGTCATCACTCACCCCCTAGCGTGAGTATGGATGAAGTCTCACGCGGGACCTTCGTCTGTGAGTGCATTGCGAGGGAATCTCAGGCGGGAGCCCCCTCCCTATGTGTTCCGCACTTCGTGTTGGTAATCCGAGCGGGTCATCCGAAACGTGTAACTGTCGTAACTTTTGGGCTCCTCAGGCTTGAATTCTGGGGAAGTATCAATCGGAAACCTCGTCCGTGAGTGAATTGCGAGGAAGTCTCAGGCGGGAGCTCCCCCCCCCCCTTGGGGCCCGCCTTTCATGTTGGTAATCCGAGCGGGTCATCCGAAGCGCGTAACTGTCGTCACTTTTGGGCTCCTCAAGGTTGAATTTTGGGGAAGTATCGGGGGAAGTATTAAGCGGGAGCCTCGTTTGTCAGTGAATTGTGAGGAGGTCTCAGGCGGGAGCCCCCTCCCGATGGGTCCCGCACTTCATGTTTGTAATTTGAGCGGGTCGTCCGAAACGTGTAACTGTCGTTATTTTTGGGCTCTTCAGGTTTGAAGTTGGGAGAAGTATCAAACGGGAGCCTCGTCTGTCAGTGAATTTGAGGACGTCTCAGGCGGGAGCCCCCTCCCTATGGGTTCCGCACTTCATGTTGGTAATCCGAGCGGGTCATCCGAAACGTGTAAGTATCGTCACTTTTGGGCTCCTCAAGCCTGGATTTGGAGGAAGCATCAATCGGGAACCTCGTCCGTGAGTGAATTGTGAGGTCCCGCACTCATGTTGGTAATCCGAGCGGGTCATCCGAAGCGCGTAACTGTCGTCACTCTTGGACTCCTCAAGTTTGAATTTGGAGGAAATATCAAGCGGGAGCCTCGTTTGTCAGTGAATTGTGAGGAAGTCTCAGGCGGGAGCCCCCTCCCTATGGGTCCCGCACTTCACGTTCGTAATCTGAGCGGGTCATCCGAAACGTGTAACTGTCGTCACTTTTGGGCCCCTCAGGCTTGAATTTGGAGGAAGTATTAAGCGGGAGCCTCGTCCGTGAGTGAATTGTGGGGAAGTCTCAGGCGGGAACCCCCTCCCTATGGGTTCCGCATTTCATTTTGGTAATCCGAGCGGGTCATCCGAAACGTGTAACTGGTGTCACTTTTGGGCCAAAACTTAAGCCTCCGGCGGCCTGCGCGGCGACTCTCCGCCATGACTGGTCCCGCACTTCATGTTGGTAATCCGAGCGGGTCCTCGGATTCCTATGGTTTTCGTAACTTTTTGGGCTCCTCAGCTCCTGCGGCGTGAATGCGGGGGAAGGGCTCCTCAGCTCCTGCGGCCAGAAAGCGGGCGAAGAATCAGGCGGGAGCTTCGTCTGTGAGCGAAGTGCGGGTAGCCTCGCCTGAGCTGGTCGTCGGCAAATTTGTTCTTGTCATGGGCCTGCGTGCCCGAAAAGGCGACTGGCCGGGCGCAGGGGTAGCCCCTTGTGTCCGGGCCGGGGGGAGTAACCCATCCTCGGCCGAATCGGGGGCAGGGGTAACCCCTTGTCTCCGGGCCGCCGGTGGTAACCCTTCGGCGGCCGAATGGGGCGCAGGGGTAACCCCTTGCGTTCGGGCTGGGGGTGGTAACCCATCCTCGGCCGAATCCGGGGCAGGGGTAGCCCTTGTCTCCGGGCTGGCAGTGGTAATCCGTCCTCGGCCGAATCGGGGGCAGGGGTAACC